GATCATGAAGAGGTGAACAAGCTTTTAAACGGTCCAGATGATATCTTATGGATTCCTCGGCCTGAAGCCTCTAAAGCTACTACAATGAAGACTGTGTTGTGTGATATCACCTCTCTGCTTCTTTCCGAGCTAGACGGGTTTGCGAGGACTATGCAGAGCATACCTTCAATCGAATCCCCAAAGGCCTCATCCTGGGGTCCACATCGGGGCCCAGATATACGCCCACGTCCCACCGACAGATTGTTTCACCGGATGACCATGCCTGCGCAGCTGCCATCTAACCCCAACGGTGGTACGCCTGAAACACCTCTCAGTTCCAGCCAAGGCTCGCCCATCCCAAGTGACCATGAAACTCCAACGACTTTTGATGAGATAACCCGGTCTATTCAACTATCCACCCGCTCCAACTCTGTTGGAAAGCCCAACTCCTTGCCGAGTTCCAAAGAGCATAGCCGTGACCGGATGTCTGTGAGCAGTATGAGCGCTACCGATCGTACTAAGAATCGGATCAAGGGTCGTGCAGGCGTTGTTATTGGAACTCTCTTTCTTCAGGCCGGAAGGTGGCCGGATGCCTTGAAGGAACTCGTTGAAGCTGCATCCAACGCTAGAGCGTGCAGTGATTATGTCTGGCATGCTAAAGCACTTGAATCAATCCTACTCTGCTTGCTAATGTTTGCGTGGGCAGGCATGGATTTTCAGGTGCGTCTCTCTCTCTCTCTCTCTTTCTCCACACTCAATTGAACGCTACTGTTACTAAAGCTTCGATCGATAGATTCCTCCCATTTGTTACCCTGTTGCCGATAAGTCTTCAAAATCATCATATAATTTCGAATCAGCCCCAGGGCAATCCACACCTGGGAACCGGATCATCTCGCTTCAGAATCTATCAAACCTTTTACCAGACCTTTCGAACAATATACTCAATCTCTACAATCGTGCCGCTAATATAGCCAATGCGCCCTTGCCTCAGCTCATCTTCTCAGAAACAGTGATTCGTTTAGGTAGGCTGTTGGTAGCTGCCCGCATCCGTGATGGTGCATTAGATGACATAGCCCTAAAACATGTTGTTATGGGTGAACCTCTACAACCTCTTCACCGACCGGAGCGCCCTCGTGGCCTGGTCATCCTCCGAAAGTCCGAGATCGCAAACTTCCTCCTCCGTGCACTGCCGTTATCTCCGGGGTCAGATCTGCCTCCGACGGATGCAATACCCATCATGATCGGTGTTGTCTCTGTCTTCGATACGCTTGGCCTACCACGAAAGAAAGCCTTTATCCTGAGAGAACTTCTGTCAATACTCGTCCCAACGCTGGTTCAAGCCCGCAAGATAGGTGCAGCAGAAGTGGGAATTCATCCTGCTGCCGGTCTAGCGTCCCTTAGTGACACAGCTTTTGATATCAATGCTCTGGACGTTGGACCTGGGAACATGGAAGAGAGCATGCGCTCCCTCCTCGCTACAATAGGGGAAATATATGGCGTTCAGCCTTCATCCTTTTGCGAGTGGCAAAAGAGACGCTCCACAAATGAAAATGGTACAGAGTCCTTCCCTGAGTATGATTCGGTTGTTGCTATTGTTGAACGATCGTTTCGGCACGCAGTTCTCGATGGGTACGGTGACTTGAACCTCAAGATTGATGTCCTTAAGGCCTGTATCAATTCATGTGAAGCACTTCCTGATTTTGGTGGCGTCCTTCGCTTCACGGTCGAGTTACTTCAGACCATCAGGGGTGACCTTATGCTTGCTGAAACATTACACACCCCTCCATGTCTGCCACAAGACGAACAGATCCGATTGTTAAACAACATTAAGCGAACAGTGGGGGCCGCAAATAAGCTGGGTGCATCCGGACTGGAAGCGGAGTACTGGGATGATTTCTTAGTACGGGGTGTCCAGTTGCTGGCCCTTCCGGATTCCAGAAGCCCTGTCCGTCGATCTAAATCAGAGCTCGATGTTGTCACAGCTGACCGTGAAAAATCATCAAAAGATCCATTCTTATATAATCCTTTTCACAAGCCCAGCAACAAGACAGCAGAGTTACTCATGGTGGCTGGTGAACATGCCGCTTTTCAACTTACCCTCCAAAATCCTTATGAGTTTGAAGTAGAGATCGAAAAGCTCCGTCTTGACTACGAAGGTGTACCTCTCGATGCTACTGCAGAATGGATCGTGCTTCGGCCCCTAAGCTTGCAAGACGTCACGGTTTTCGGATTAGCACAAGAAGAAGGGGTGGTGAATATAACAGGGTGTTTCGTCAAAGTCCGGCACTGCAGAGAACGGAGGTTTCCCATTTTCAAGGATTTATGGAGACCTGAAGCCGAAAGGAAATTTAAGCGAACTGGTTTAGCAGCTAAACAGCCTTCGATAGAACGGCCACTTTCCTGGGGTTCAACCACTTCGAGGGACGGCAAGCAGCTTCCAAAGAAAGGCCCAGATACATCATCTTGTGAGATCAAGGTTATAGGCCGCCAGCCGTCCCTCCTGATCGAGTCGCTTTCCCTGTTGCAGTCCGCGTTCATGGTTCTGGAAGGTGAAGTTGGTTCTTTCAAAATCACATTGCGCAACACGTCATCGTGCCCTCTGGATTTTATACTGTTTACTTTCCAGGACTCTACTACGCGGCAAATCCAGAATGCTCTGAGCAACAGAGATCTGCTGCCAGTGGAAGTGTACGAACTTGAACTCAAGCTGTCGAAGCCCGCTTTGCGGTGGCGGCGTGAGGGCAAAAATCCAGGTGACCATTCAATACCTCCTGGTGAGTGTGCTATATTCACTGTGGACGTCACTGGGAAGCCCGGCTTGCAAGATACGACCGTACAGATCGATTATTCGTGTATTGGACAGTCTCACAGCGAACTACCTGATGTGTTCTATACCCGGCAACTATTTGTCCCGCTCACCGTTACTGTCAATGCGAGCATAGAAATTGCTCGTTGTGATATATTACCTTTTAGTGGCGACTTCGCCTGGTGGAACTGTCGGGAGGCTGGTGCGGAATCCGAGTATACCGCAAAGGAAAATACGGATGTTTCTCCATGTTCGCCAAGTAGCGATGTGTTTTCACCTGTGCTATCTCATCTTGGGCAAGGCACATATGGTTCTGATCACTGCCTTCTGCTACTTGATCTTCGTAACGCTTGGCCGAATCCCCTAACAGTGTCACTGCAAGCTAATTCACAACCTGTCGAACCGTCTGAGCGGTCGATAGAGGAAGCTGAGTTGATAGATGGCCGCTATGTCGTTTCTGGAGAACTTCAACCAGGGCAAACGTCGCGTTTTGTCCTCGTTCTTCCTCGTGTCTATCTAGATAACCCCCATGCTTCGATCCCAGTTCTAAACACTGGCATGAAGAGACAGTTCGTTGTAAGCGCCCATAAACTTTCATTCGACGCCGAAGCCGCATCACGTGAGGCATTCTGGTACCGAGAAGAGCTCCTCAAAAGAGTATCCGGATTCTGGAAAGAGAGTCCTGCGGGGCGGAAAGGAATGGTTGACCTGAGAAACCTACGCTTCAGTGCGCGGATGGTGGACGCCTTCCGACTCGAAGACGTTGATATAAGATTTGCCCTGAGTTCCTCATCTTCTGATATAGTTAGCCCCAACGGCGACAGTGTTGTGCAGATCGGACGGTCAAAGTACAGGGTCCAGATTGACGAGATGCTTAGTCTCAACGTCACTATCTCCAACCGATCCTCAAGGCCTATCCATCCTCTTCTCCGACTCCAGCCAAGCCTTCGTCATCAGCCCAACAGTGTTGCCCTTGATTTGTCAAAGCGTCTCGCATGGACCGGTATGCTACAGCAAGTGCTACCTCTGTTACATAGCGGGGAGAGCACAACTGCTACCGTCGGTGTAACCATCCTTTGCCGGGGAGAGTACGAATTCGGCGCGTCTGTAGAGGAATTGCGCTTCGTGAGACCTTCGCCCGGCACGGAATCGGATACCCATCCCCAGGCTCAAGCGTCTTTCCACGATGACGAGGGGCCTATCAAGGATACGTTTGGTATAGATGTGGCCAAGAAAAGACATATATGGCATGCTAAAGAAGCCTGTGTTATGAATGCTCATGGTTAATTGCTGAGATGAATAGAATCGCTTGACGATCTTGTATCCAGCAAATAAACTTGGCGACATCAGCTGACGATTGCCGGTTGGGACGCGGTTTGCTGGAGATCACTATCGCTGGTTAGTGAGAAGTGTCTTACTAGTTGAACTATAGATTATGTATAAATATCAAATTACCTGGCTTACGAGTGGTCTGCGAGGACGGGATTGTAGGCTTGTTCATGCAATTGTGTAGCTCCCTTGTTTCGCCTATATTGATAGACTATATTACTAAATGTTGCTGTCTGCACAATATTTGAGACAGTAGGTCAAACTTAATGTGCGCTAGATTCACCAAAGTCAACCACTTGCTCGGAGGCCTGCGGTTATAAGATCTCAACAGGTTTGAGATGTTACAACTAGCTGGCCTTGACAGCTGAGAGGAAGCTCGTCTCTGCATTACGCTGCAACATGTCGCGACTAAATTGGCACAGTGTTTCTGTATTAGGATCACAACCGTGGTCAAACGTTACGCGGAATACAGCTAGCACGCCTATTGAACGACTGAGCATCACATCGGCTGCGATCAGGTGAGATATTGAGATAATAACTCGTAAGAACCAGGGGGGCTTCCTTGTGAAGCAGCAGAGCTAGCTACTAGCACAAGTTTAGACCTTACCAAAGCACTCTCATCACGTCGTCGTATCTCCCGCTTCGTTTTCTCGTGCGTTTGTAAGCATTTTATCCTTGGTGGGTGAAGGGTGCTGGTCACCATGGGGAAAGCTTAGGTATTTCCAATCCTCGATTTCTTCAATGATACATTTTAGTCTATCCCGAATACTTTCCACAGCATATGTGCCAAGAATAAGTCGGAGAGGCGGATAGGAGCAATGACCCAACTCCCAAACGAGATAGGCAGCTTTCACGGCGCTGGCAGGTTGCTTATCGCCCAGCCACATTAGCATGCGTTTTGCATGCGCCGCCGGCGCAGTGGGCGTGTTGTACGGTTCGCTCGGTGGCTTGACAAAAAATGACCGTAAAGGGGGAGGGGCGACGCGAGGTCGTGGTCATTCTGACTAGCCAGCATCGCAGTATCGGACACAAGATCGCCGATATCATCACGGCGCATGTGTCCAGGCTCCACGAGGGTGGTCTTAATGTTAAAATTGTCCACTTCGTACAGCATACTTTCCATCAATCCTTCGACGGCGTATTTTGATGCGCAGTACGGCCCTAATCCGGGAACGCCTAAGGCGCCTGATGTTGAGCTGAAGATTAGGTACCGACCGGATCTCCTCTCACGGAAATGCGGCAGGGATAGCTGAATCATGTTCAGCGTCCCCATGAAATTTGTCTCGAATTGGTCGCGGATGTCATATTCGTCTTGATCCTCGCAGGCCCCGATCACACCGTACCCGGCGCAGTTAGCAATGATGTCAATACGGCCAAAGCGCTCGATTGTGCGATCGATGACTCGTTTGACGGTCTCTCTAGCACGGACATCGCACAGAAGTCCCAGGCAGTTATCGTGCTCTTCTTCGAGCTTCTTCATGCACTCCGGACTGTTCTCGAATGTACGCCCCACAGCTGCGACAAGGTCATCGCGGGACAATGCGGTCTTGACAAGGGAGCGGCCCATATGGCCTGTCGCACCAAAGATCTAGGATAAGACCAGGTATGTTAGCTGCCAGGGTTGTCGAGATTTGAGACAGACACTCCTCGAAGTAGCTCGTGGGTCATACCAGCCATACGAGTGGTTTCGGCGGGTTCTGCGGTCCCGGAGGGTCAGTGGTGGTGGGGAGATGGAGCTTAGGTTCTCGTACACCGGTTGCAGACGGTGATGATGCATTTAAGGGTTTGGGGGAGGAATTGTGAAACTCCATCAAGAGGATGCAAGAGGGAGGGAAAGAGAATAAAAGAAGAAGGGGTCCGTTGCGGTTCGGCGCGTTGTTTGAAGAATAGTTTGTTTCCATTCTTCTCCGCATTGGGCAAATCCGGGGTCTCGGCATATAAATCACCGTTTCAGGTCTACAGCATTTAAAAACCTCAGTCGTGAATCTATACATGTATACACAGCTCAAGGTGGACAATGTTCTTGTGGAATATCGTTACACTAAGATGTTTTGAAACAATTCATGAAATCTCTCCATCCCTCAAGCAGGCAAATGCTACCTAAATTCAAACAGAATGCCCCGCATACAAACGCCGATACCAGGCAATTAGGCAATAACAGGATCGTATAGTATCTTAATGCGCAATCTCCCTCCGCAGCCGTCCAGCGGCACTAGAGGGAGCGGGATCTGGCCAGCCGCTCACAGCGTCATCAACTTCCTCCAAGAAACTCGTGCTGTTGTGTATGCTTGTACCAGCAAGAACCACTCGTACTCCAGGCGAGCTGGCATTCACCTGAGCCACCATCTTGGCTTCTTCATAGGTCGCGCCACCCACCATAAAAATGATTATATCCTGGGGTTTATCCCGGATGTGACCTCCACTTTCGAGAAAAGGATACTGTAGCTCCTTTAACCGGCCCTTGATCAGATTTTGAAGAGTGGCCTCTAGGCGCGGTGAGTGTTGGGTGTAGACATTCTCAACACCTTTCAGCCCTTTGAAACGATCTCGAGCACCAGAGAAAAAGGAAGTCGATTCGAACAGGTCAGAGAAACCTCCAGCAACTGGAGGAGCCTGAAGAGAATGGTGGTAGGCGAGTAGTTTTGGAATGGTGTTCACTTTATACGACGGTACATTTCCCGCGGTGACCAGTAAATCAAGCAGGATCGGTAGTGCATTATTCGGTTGTTTTTCGTATCGAATGGCGTATAGTGCCACTAGACGTATCTTATTTTCGGCCGGCACAGATGGGAGTTGTATTATCCGCTGTAGATTCTACGCAACCAGTCAGCATCAAGTCTACAACCATCCCTAGTTCGGTCAAGTCTCTACATACCTTGAGGTCACTAGCATGGTTTTCGTTGCAAGCCAAGCTTTGTTCCAATTCGCTGACATCGAGGAGATCCTCCTCGCCGACTCGCCGGCTGAGCTCCCCGACCAGAGTAACATGTTTACTGACGTTTCCAGAAAGCTTGCGAAACTCTGGATAATCCTCCACGAACCGCTTCATATCCGCAATCGACTCGATATTCATTGTGTTCTTAGTTTTCACCTGATACTGTTCGACGTATTCTTTGATATTCTGACCCAAATCGCCAAAGTTTTGATACATATTTTTCTTAAAGAAAGGATCTTGATCTTGCGAGAGGACAATTTCTCGAAGCTCCGGTCGGATTTCCGGTACGTCTCGAAGGTCAACCCTTCCGTTGTGAATGCCCATCAATTCATGAACCATCGCTTGGTACGTCCACTGGGTCAATAAAGGTGTAATAGGATCATCGCGTCGGTCTAGAACTAAAAGAATTGGCGGCGTGTCGGTCTTGCGAAAATTGAACAATTGCTCTTCCTGAGTCAACTGATACCGAACTTCAGTAGCCAGCTTTTTGGCCAGCAGACTGTTTTTCTCGTAGCGTATCAATGGGTTCTTCTTCAAAGCTAACAGAATAGAGATTATACCCTCCGTGGCTCTCTGCAGTGCATCTGCATTCCACAGGTCTGGAGAGTGACTCCACAACCGTTGTTGAGGAAAGCCGAGGTTTAAGGAACACAGATCCGGATTGATCACGATGAAGTCCGCAAAGTGTTCCTGCACCGCACGCACCACTTCATGACTGTCTGCCTCGGCGAGGCGCTCGAGCGACGACTTGCGAATGATGTTGCTGAGATAGACGTAATATTCGCCGTACTTGGGTTCACGAAGTTCGTCGATCAAGAATTGGATGGAGCTGGGGGATGGGCGCACGAAGCAGAGGCAGCGCAGATGCCGCATCTTCTCTCGAGCCGCATTATCTAACCGATCGATCAGGTACACTTCGTGATTCAGCAGGGCGGATTGGGTGATGGCTGTCGACACAATGGTGACCTATCCATGGCAAATTAGACCGCAGCCTCTTGATAAGCAAGTAACCTCGAAGGGGAATCCCACTGTCTCACTATCCAAAAGCAGGATCTTCATCTTGGCCGACGTTGAGGAGCCCGATGTCGAGGGATCCCCCGCCGTGACCATCTTGGAGATATACCCCGAAACCGCCGCGACGACGTCCATGGTGAGGGTAAACCGCCCCGAGGAGGCGTTAGAGGATCACAACCGGGGACAAGTGCGCTGAAAGTAAGCTAGTCACGGATGAATCTTCAATATCTCCGATAAGAAACAATACATGAGGTACGGAGGAAGCGTGAAAACTGAAGTTGTAGTTGTTGTTGTTGGGGAGGTGTGGATCTCATAATGAAGCGGCCCGCCAAACACGTTTGGAGTATTCGTTCTCCGCCTATGATCATGGCATGTGATTTCTGTTCATGTTCCTTGACCATATGGCATTTTCATGAACCTTTTCCCTTACCCAACAACTTCTCAATATCGGGTCTACTCAATGTCGTCCATACTCGTCTAAACCCTATCTAGAGCTTTTCTCCCTGTTCCTCCTCCCTCCCTTTTTTTTCTGCTTCTCTTCCTCGTGCTGCACGATGCTACCATACGTAGATCTCGGTGAGCTGTTCCAGTTAACGTCCTGTAAGTTCAGTATTGAACAGTACTAACATGCTGCTTATCTTCTAGTTTTTGAGTATCCTGCCAATATCACAGGGGCTTCCGTTGATGAACGTAAGGTCTCCCAATGGCTTCATTCCTCGTCCGCGTCGCTAAACTGTCCCCTCTATCGCATTAGTGAAGCTTATTGCGTCATTCCTACTCTCCTACCCTCTGGCCGCGCTATTGAAAAGAATCCCAGACGCACAACCTTGGAAGAAGAATGCATTCATAGTCGCTGTTTCACTATTCTATCTTGTTGGCCTGTTTGACCTCTGGGACGGTCTCCGGACGCTAGCCTACAGTGCGGCCGGTATCTATGCGATTGCCTATTATATTGATGGGTCGTTGATGCCATGGATTGGATTCATTTTTTTGATGGGCCATATGTCGATCAGTCACATCTATCGACAAGTCATAGATGACGCGCATGCAACTGATATCACCGGAGCCCAGATGGTGCTCGTCATGAAGCTTTCATCGTTTTGCTGGAATGTTCATGACGGCCGTTTGTCCCAGGAACAGCTTTCAGACCCTCAAAAGTACGCCGCGATCAAAGATTTTCCCAGTATTCTAGACTACCTAGGATATGTGCTGTTCTTTCCGTCACTTTTCGCTGGCCCGTCTTTCGAGTATGTCGACTATCGCCGGTGGATCGACACCACACTCTTTGACGTGCCTCCGGGGACGGACCCTTCGAAGGCCCCTCCGACTCGAAAGAAGCGTAAGATCCCTCGAAGTGGAACGCCTGCCGCCAAAAAGGCGTTCGCTGGGCTAGGGTGGATTCTTGCATTCCTGCAGCTCGGGTCGTTCTACAACCAAGAGTTGGTCCTCGGTCAGACATTCATGCAGTATTCCTTCCTTCGACGGGTATGGATCCTACACATGCTCGGCTTTACGGCCCGATTGAAGTATTACGGGGTGTGGTACCTCACAGAAGGTGCCTGTGTTTTATCTGGCATGGGATACAATGGCTTCGATCCTAAGTCGGGGAAAGTGTTTTGGAACCGGTTAGAGAATGTTGATCCATGGAGCCTCGAAACTGCTCAAAATTCTCACGCCTATTTGGGGAGCTGGAACAAAAACACAAACCATTGGTTGCGAAACTATGTTTATTTACGCGTCACTCCTAAGGGGAAGAAACCTGGCTTCCGGGCCAGTCTCGCTACGTTTGTCACCAGTGCATTCTGGCACGGATTCTACCCTGGATATTATCTGACCTTTGTTTTGGGATCATTTATCCAAACCGTAGCTAAGAGTACGTCTCACATACCTGCATTGCATTAGTTTCATTCTGATCAGTTTCCACAGATTTCCGTCGCTATGTTCGGCCATTTTTCCTCACCCCTGATGGCAGCCGGCCCACTGCCTACAAAAAATATTATGATATTGCCAGCTATATTGTGACCCAGCTCACCTTGTCCTTTGCCGTCATGCCTTTCATCTTCCTATCTTTCGGTGATTCGATCAAGGTCTGGAGGAGCGTCTATTTCTATGGCATTGTTGGTAATATCGCATCCCTTACTTTCTTCGTCAGTCCCGCCAAAGGAATACTTCTCAAAAAGCTGAAAGCACGCAATAAACCCCACGTCCCCCGGGCGGTTAGCTCGGAGAACATACGACAACCAACTTTGGGTCTACCAAACGATGCAATCCAGGAATTGGATGATGCAGTTCAAGAGATCAGAGCCGAAATTGAGTCCAGGCAGAGACGAGGCAGCTTAGCCAATATGCCTACAGGCGATGAACTGAAGGCTGCTGTGGAAGATAAATTAGGCCGGAGGCATTAATTCGCAATGCCATTCTCACTGTAATTGATTATAATCAGCTGGGTAAAGTCCTCGTGTCATGTCCAGCGAGCAGTTGAAGATTCAGTCGTCACAAGATGAGTTTACGATTACGTAGACTTGCTATCGTTCAGGCAAAACAATTCGTTAATCATGCGGTTCGTTTGCGGTGAGTGTTCATTCGTTTTGGACACCACTTCCGAACACCCTACCCCTTCATGGCGTTTTTTAGACGAGATCTTAATCTTACATTTTTGGCGCTATCGCCATTTCTGACTCACTTTGGAGCAATGTTGAAACATGGACATGTCTGCATATAAATCCATATACAGCATATTCCGACTGCAACTACCTATTAATAGTGGTGAAAGGAAGGTTGCGCATGTCTCCGCGTATACTTGTACACATGGTTGGTTTGATGTGTAAATTTTCTGGTCTCGAATTCATAATAAAGGCATGTATAGATAAATACATGGAAGAAGGGAATATACAAATGTTTATATAACAAACAGTACATATATCCATAATCTGTCGTAAAATCCCAATTAATCCAGCGCTGCGTGCTCCAAACATGGGCTTCCCTTCAACCTACTGATATCTGGGAAGTCGTCCGAAAGAGAGCACAAACAACTTATAGAATTAAGGTCGAAAGCAAATAATAAAGAAGCATTATGCGCATCACGTCGTGCAGTCGTGTCGAGTAGTGTAACCAGGTAAGTGCAAGCAGCCAAAGCGAAGTAGAAAGGTTAAGGAAGCGGCGAGGGTATCAAAGGCGGAAATGAGGCATCGAGAGGTAAGGTAGAGTTGAAGAAACCGACTCCCAGGAAGCAATAATGAAGATCGCAGTCCGATCCAGTCAAAAAAGGTCAAAAAGGAAAGAAAAGGTTAGGAAAGGAGAAAAAGAGAAAAAAAATAGCAACCAGGATGACCCGCGGACAAGGCCGAAAGACAGGTTGCAGAGCGTTGATAGACACTAGAAGCCCACCTTCGTTCCCACAACAGCCAATGTGATCTGCAACGACTATTAGCAAGAGTTATTGGCACACACGAAAGAATACCTACAACGATTGTAATGATCACCAGTCCCAGAGGTATCATCCATCGATTAAGATTCCTCCACCATCTAGCGTTTTCGTACCGCTTCCGTTCAAGGTCAAGCACTCGCATCTGGAGTGTCTTTTCACGTCCAGGTTCAGTGTCTTCCTGTAAGATCATTTCCGGCTTAGGGGGCAAAGGAAGAAAGGCTGCTATGAGCCAGGCTGGAGCAATAACAGGTAAGCACTAAAGCTGCGTTTCCCAAGTTCGGGTACAAATAGGTACGTACCAAGTGGGAATATGAATCCCAAGCAAAAGGACCATACTTGAATGTTTCTGCGTCCGAGAAAAGGCTCTGTTCGGGAATCCATAGACGGAGCCCCCCATGTACTCCCCCTGGGGCGAACATTACGTCTATCGGGGTACAAATGCGGAGACCAGCTGTGTCGCAATTGATGGCGAAAGTGTCCGGGTCTCTCTGCAACCTCAGGGCCTTCACCCAATGGCTCCGGGGGTCACGTGGGTCAGGTTTGCTCATCCATCGTATGCTTTGTCCCGTTTCGTTGGTACGGGTCCTCGGGCGAGTAGCAGCGGTGGTTAAACGATGGATGGGGTTGGAGTTGGGTGTTGTCGGACGTGCTGAGGATGGACGACTACCCTCCACCGAAGAAAGTGCAGAGCCCGCCGGTTGACCATAATACATTTTGGCCCAAGTAGGCAGCACATTGAAGGTAAAACTCGAACTAGTACCTGGCCGCTTTGTACTGCGAACACTGCTCTGTCTCGATCCGGATGAGTGACTACTCGGTACTGCTGGATTTGTAGGACGGGCTGGAAGACTGGAGACATCGTCTAAGTATTCATCCCCGTCCGTGCTATTGATTAGCCACACCGAAGAAGACGTCGGTCTCTGACGGACAAGCGCCGCAGTAGGCCTAGATGGCTCTGGTGTGTTCTCGGCACGATCGGCCGGAGAAGCTGATCTCGAATCATACTCAGCGGACCATCGAGACGTAACTGTAGATAAGTGCGATTTAAAGTGTTCCGAC